CCCCAAAACCCCAAAACCCCAAGAGTAGTCTAAATACAAATAAATAATAAATATTTATAAGTTGAGTTAGTGGTAATTAAAAGTATTTTATGTTCATTTAAATGTCTCTCATATTGACGTCATTTTCTATTAAGAAATCAAAATTTTATACAAGTGATTTGTCTGTAATCAATCAGATTTGTATTCTCTTTTGACTCTCTACCAAAGTCCCGGATGGTTGAAGATAAATCTAAAAAGTACCTTGAAATAGCTTGTGTGGTGTGGAAGACTATCATAAAACTCAGGCGCTAATGCCTTAAGTTTTGGCAATTTCCTATATGGAATCTTTGGGAAATCATGATGCTCAATGTGATAACCTCCTTTGAAAAGAATATAATTAAGGGGGCCATAGTACGAGAAAGTATCTTAAGTCTGATTAGGATCATTTACAAAGGAAGTATCTTCAGTTATTGAGTAATGCTCAGCAACGAAATGAATAGAAGCTATATGGAGTCCTTAGCCAAGAAGCGAGGCACACATTAAATATACTAATGGACCATAACTCTCAGTAACATAGCAGCCTGAGCCAATATATAAAATTTAGCCTACTATACCAATAAAGTCTTCTGGTGTTAAGGATCTTGGACAGCAAATCTATGGTCTGAATGCATAAAGCAAAACTTAAAGAATCAAGAAACTTATTCTAGTAAGCATATTCTTTGAGAACATATAAGCTTCAAATTGAGTTGGTAAATCTGGGTCATACATTGGCTACTTCTTTTAGCTTCTATCCATTTCTTCCTGATTCTTCTTGCCTAAATCAACTGATATATAACTATGATGTGGCATATGATAGTGAAGGAATGCTCTATAGGCAGGAAGAAAGCATGGTAACTCTCCGATGAAGCCAGCGAGGAAACTACCCCATCTACCAGGCAAAACAAGTTAATGAGCAGCTTCATGAATTGCTAAACCAGCTGCGCAAGACCAAAAGCCACCTAAAAGCCATCCTACAAATGCAATTTTTGAATAACTATCACCAAAGCACAATGAGAAAAACACAGCCAGACCCCAATGAGATCCACTCATGAAAATAAAGTCCAGAAGTGTCCACGGGTCATAGCCTTCCAATTCTGTTATCTTGCCTTTATACTTCTTTCTCATTTCAAGAGCTCTCTGGTTGTGCCACTAATTCCTGTCAGTTCTCCAGAGGAAATCTTTCCTATTTTAGGCCTTTTCTATTTCAGAACTTTGAATCGTCATTAATTTCCTTAATTTAATTATCAATCCAAAATTCAACTAAATTCTTATTGATTCCTTAATCTGGGGTTTTGGGGTTTTGGGG